TCCTTGCATCTCTGACCCTTGGGTGGGGTTCAGAAGTCTCTCATTAACATGACAAAAGACTGTTACACCTTTAAGGCTCTGAACTGTTTTTGGGAACTGTAGGTGAAAACCAAATATACCTTGGAAATATATATTTGTTCATCTGAATGTCCAAATATGTATTTCTTATAATTCATTATATTGCATAATGTATTAATATTGATATATTCATTATAAATATAATTATCCATCCAATTAGAAAATGGCAAAGGACAGAAGACATTTGAATATATGGATATATGGTTAGCAGATAAGCATATGGAAAGACGTTCAACATCATGAGTCATCAGAAGTGCCAATTAAGACCATGACAAGACATCCCTGTGCCTCTATCAAAACACCTAAAATTAAAAGTAGTGACAATACTAAAAGCTACTGAGGATGCAAAGAACCTGAATTTCCTATGCATTGCCAGTGAAATTGGTACAATGCATATGTGTAGTCCTCTGTCATTTGTGACACATGCAGATGCATGTAACCATCCCTCTGGTCAGGAAACAGAACTGCTCCATTGCCACAAAGATCTCCCTGGTGCTATCCCTTTATTCACACTCACCATCCTCTTCTACCACCCATGACTATAAACTGTAAAATAGTACAGCCACTTAGGAAAATAATTTGGCAGATTCTTTAAAAAGCAAACATATAACTACTACATGATCCTCAGTTGCACTCTTGGGAATTTATCCCAGAGAAATAAAAACACATGTTCACCCAAACACCTGTACACAAATATTCACTAAGCTTTATTTGTTCTAGCCATGACTTGGAAACAACTATATGTCCCTCAATTCATAAACAGTTAAACTGTGGTCAAAGAGTATGGTACCAAATCCCCAAGGTACAGCAATAAAAACTACCAGCTATTGATACATGCAGCAGTTTGTGTGGATCTCAAGGGATTTCTGTGGAGGGAAAATGTCTGTTGGATTGCATTTATATAACAATCACAAAATGAAACAAGTGTAGAGATAGAAAACAGATTAGTGGTTGCCAGGGTTGAGGGGTGGTGGGAGAGGAAGGTGAGTGTGAGTAAAGGGATAGCACCAGGGAGATCTTTGTGGGGATGGAGCAGTTCTGCTTCCTGATTGTAGGAGTGGTCACATGCACCTACATGTGTCACAAATGACAGAGGACTACCCAGATGAGTAGTACCAATGTCTGTCTCCCAGTTCTGTTATTGTACTCTACTTATGGGAGATGAAACCATTGAGAGAGACTGGGTGGAGGGTAAAAGGTCCTCTGTGTACTAACTTTGTTATTTTTTTGAATCTATAATTATGCAAAATAAAAAGTTAAAACCTTTCAATGTTTAAAATTAAGAACATGATATATTCATTTATCAGTTGGACATGGCTAAAGGGAGAATTGGTAAATTGTAAATGGTAAGACTGAGCATGGAGATTTACAAAATGGATGGAAAATATGTTAAAGAGCATAAGAAATATTTGGCACTCAGTGAAAAGATTTAACATCTGTGTAATCAGAGTCCCAGAAAGGACTCTGAAGGAGAGAGGAAAAGGCAGAAGCAAACATTGAAAAGACAATGGTAAGAATTTTCCAGTATAGATGAGAGACAACAAATTACAGATTCAAGAAGTTTTGTGAAATCCAAGCAATAATAACACAAAGCAAACAGTTCTACTTGTATCATAGCAAAACTGCCTAAAAAGAAAAACAAAAAGCAAATGCTATAAGTAGCCAGAGAGAAAAAGTCACATTGCCACATGACATTCATAAAAGCTACACTGAGAATGACAACTGACATCACAACAGAAATCATGGAAGAAAGATGTTGATGGTGTTAGGTATTTTATGTGCCAAAAGAAAATAGCTTCCACTCTAGAAATGTATACTCAGCAAAATGACCTTTGAAAGTAAAAGCAAAATAAAGACATCTTCAGAAAAATAAGAACTGAGATGATTAATCATATCTAAATGTAAAAGGAATTCTAAAGAGAGTTTTTCAGATGGAAGTAAAGGATCCCAGATGAAAATAGGAAAACAGGACAAAAATGATCAATGAAAAGAGAAATATGTAGGTTTACATAAATAAATGTTGGCTATACAGTTAACCCTTGAACAACATGGGTTTGAACTGCATGCATCCACTTACACATGTATTTTTTTCAGTAAATATATTGGAAACATTTTTGGAGATTTGTAACAATTTGAAAAAACATTTTCTTTTCTCTAGTGTGCTTCATTATAAGAATTCAGTATATATACATATAACATACAAAATATGTGTTAACTATTTTTGTTATCATAAGGCTTCCAGTCAACAGTAGGCTATTAGTTGCAAAGTTTCAGTCAAAAGTTATACTCAGATTTTTACTGCATGGGGTCAGCACTCCAACACCTGTGTTGTTCAGGGGTCAACTGTGTAAAATAACAATAATATCTTATGGGGTTTTCTTATGTCATACATGTAGAATTAAAATGTATAATAATTACACAGAAGGTCAGGAGGAGGCATGATAATAAAATAATATAAAATGAACCAGCTAAAAGTAAAGAAAGTAGAACGATACAGAAGATTTGGTTAATCTAAGAAAAGACATGAAAGCAGAGAAAAATAATTACATAAGAGGTGGGCCAGATAGAAACCAAGCAGTAAGATTGTAGACACACATTTATATGTATCCATAATTACCTTAAGTAAATGGACAAAATAGAGTACGATTAATAAACAAACAAAAAGAAATGGCAATAACCATATGCTTGCTTACAAGAGACATACCTTAGATAAAAAAGAACAGAAAGTTTTGAAGTAAAAGGATAGAAAAAATATATGACCACTAACCAATGGAAAACTGATGTGATTATAGTAATATCAGTTAAAGTGGAAGCATTATTAGAGATAAAGAGGGCATCTCTTAATGGCAAATCATTCACCAGCAAGATACAACAATTCTAAATCCGTATGTAACTAATGACTAAACTTCAAAGTACATAAAATAAATCTCAGAAGATATAAAAGAAGAAACAGACATAGGTACCTAGTGTGAGATGCTAGCACACCTCTCTGGGGAGCCACTTTACATTTCTTTGGTTATTAGAGGATTTTAGAGTTGGTGTGCTCTCAGTGGCTTTTTGTGGTTGAATTTGGAACCAACTCTTTGTGTATCTCGTCTACTTTTCCATGAAATGTTGCCTTTTTGCATATTGATATGTGAGCCTTCTTTATAACATTTATAATATACACTGTATTTTTTGCCAGCGTTTGTCTTTTAATTTTGAGTTTCATGATTTTTATGAAATAAAATCTCATCATTTTATGTGATATTTCTTCCATTCCTTTCATTCTTCAAATCTATGAGTATGTTCCAATGCATTTATTTCTCACTGTCTCAATATCTCACAGGATATTCTAGTAAGTCCTAATTTTGTAGTATAGGTTCAAAACTTTTATCTCATTTAAATAGAATCCTTTTAAACTATACTGAAATTCTATGTGGAAATTTTAAGGGTAATTTTTCTTTCCACCTACAATGATCTTCCTTCTTCATCTTTATTTGCCTGACAAATATTTATTGAGTTTCTGCTAAGTGTCAGGCATGGGCTGGCGCCAGGAGTAAGGAGAAAGCAGTGGTTGAGCAACCCCTCTATTCACATAACTCCCAGTTTGGTTGGAAGAGGGAGGCAGTAAACAAACACAACAAATATTATGTGTCATGTGACAGAGAAAAACAAAGCCAGGCAAGCAGACTAAGAAAGACCCCTGGGATTAGATGACCGGGGAGCCTTCATCTGCCGGCTGGCTGCCTCCTGACTCATTCTTCAGAATGACCTGGCCATCACATCACATCATGTGCTACATCTGGATCTTTCTACCTTACAACTGCCAATCCCTCTCTATTACAGCCATACCTGGTTCCCCTGGGAAGTCCTTGAATCAGGATCAAACCATAAAACCATCCCCTCCATGCCTTACCCAGTCACATGTTAAATATTCTACAAATGGTAGTCAATTTGAATTGACCAGATTTTTTGGAGAAAATAAAAGCTTGCCTCAAAGATTAATTCTTAAATAAAAAGTAATGGGCATTATTATAATTAGCCCCTGAAGTCTACCACACCAATTGCTCTAATAAGGAGGTAACACCCAGATACTGAAGATACTGTCATCTGGGCAATGCTTCTCAGCCCTAGATGCACACCAGGATGTAGAAGTTGCTGTGAAACATCTCCAACGTCTGTCTCCATCCCTAGAGATTCTGTTAAGATTGACCTGGAACAGGGCCTGAATATCAGCCTCTTTTCAAAGCGCCCCACGTAAGTCCAACGTGTAGCCAGGCTGAACGCCATGGTGCTGGGGCCTAGATCACACCTTAATTGCCATCATACATGACCGCATACTGGTCATAAGGAATGACAATTCCCAGGCTCTCACTTCAATGATGCCAACTATTTCATCCCCACTGGAAAATGCCCGTCTGTGTGCAAGAAAACCAGGTACTACTTGGCTGGTTAGATATTTTACGTAACTAGTCCCTGTGTGCTTATAACACATCTCTCTCAAATGGCATTTCTTAGCATCTACTGAAAACACTGATGTAGGCAGCAAGGCCTTCTATGCTTCATTTTTAATTCAGTTCACTGGTGTGTCACACACTCCTCATGACAGGGCATCTACCATGACACAGAGTGCTGCCAAGGGGCGATCTTTGGTGTCACTTTTTACAGGAAGCAGAAAGAAGTCTTCTCGTCTTAGCAGAGTCCTCCAGGTTGGGGTTCTCCGCTTACTTCTTTCTGAAGTTAATGCAAGCAGAAGGAAAAATAAATGGAGCCTTGCTCCAGCCTTGCTCAAGGAGAAGCTGCCTGCCAGCATAAGTACCACCTAGCCTGTGACCACAACAGCTGCCTAAGAGGTCCTGGCCCCCGGGGCTCTACCGCAGGCCCAGGCAGGGCTCGGGGTCTCCCAAGGGGCCATATGCAACCCGTGCAGTTGAACTTACAAAGAAAGGAATCAGGCCAGCAGCCTTGTCTGTCTCCAGGGCCTCTTGCAGGGCAGAAGCACGCATGGCAAATTTGTCATCTGACGGGATTGATTTTAATTTCACTCCACCAATTAAGCCAGCTCTCTCCACTGAAGAGTGTGCCTGCAGAGAAAGCAGCAGAGGTAAAGTCTTGTAGGCATGCTCCACACAGTGGCTGGGCACCCTGGCTCGGCAGACAGCCCCACTGCCTCCAGCACTCTGCTGCCTTCAGAGCACAGCAGGGGCCTGGTCTGTGATAGGAGTCGCAGGACAGCTGTTGTGGACCTCTGTGGCGCTGACAGCAGGAGTTATCACTATAGCCGCAGGCACTGTATATTGTCCACAAGAGATAGTTCTCTGCATGTGAACCTACTTTCTGGGCAAATGCTTCAGCGTCCTGCCCTGGTTCCCTGGCACAGCCTGGGTGCCCACCCCATTGTCCAGATGCTGGCTGACCATGACTCCCAGCCACCCGCTGACAGAGCCGCCTTGCTGCCCTCATGCAGGACTGACTACAGATGCACCAAGGCTGGCTCCTTGTCTTAAGGAGGGGGCAGCTCTGAGGTGGTTGCTGCACCCGGGCAGTCCCCAGGGGCCATGGTCTCCCAGAGACCACATCCTTGCTTGCTCCTTCCTCCAACCCCATTGTGTCTCCCTCCCTCCTTCAGCTGCCCTTTAGAGCACCCCTCAATAAACAGCAAACACCTACAGCAATGTGTCAGGCCCTGCTCCTGTGGGACCTGGCTGGAGAGCCCCAGAAGCCTGCCCTCCAGCCCATGGCCATCAGTGTACACAATGCATTCTCCTAAGTCCCGTGCCCTCTGGTGGAAGTAGCCATGCTCCATCCTTGGGAGAACTGAGAAAAGCTCACCAAATCATTTTCTGTAGGGCTAAAGTCCCTCAGAGTCCCCATGGGGAAAGGCTACTCCCTAACATTCATAGCGTCTTAGCTAAACATATATTTATCAAACCTACTTGTGCATATTTGTAAAGTCTCCTCTTGTCCCTTCTTCATGTGTAGGCACATACACAGAGATAACCCTCCTGTTTAAGCATTAAAATATGGCTCTTGCATTTATTTCAGGCTACATATATTTAGGAACTAGGACAAAGTTGTCATCGTGGAAATGCTTGGCTTCAGAAACGCACTGCAGATAAATATGTTGGAGAAGCTCCAGCATCTATTCCTGCAGAATCTACGTCCCTGAGAGTGGTCAGTTCTTTTTGGTGCCATCTTGACTATAGTTTCTCTCCTGGAGTTACTTTCCTCATGCTGCTCCATTCTCTTCCCTTCTGTTTCCTCTCACACAATTTTGTTTTAAACCATTCTCAGATGGGCTGGTCCATGGAATTTTACCAGCAGTGCATACCTTTGACCTTATGCTTGGCCACTAGCTGGCTGAGCAGCAACATCCAGGGGAGCAGCTCCGTGTCCCTCACTGACAGTTCAGAGAATTAATACGAGTCACCTGAGATCTAAAACTTAAACTAGCAGAGCTGGGATCTGAGCCCATATCTGGCATCTATAAAGCGGCTCCAAAGGCAGGCTGGGGATCTCAGCGTGAGCCACTGCAGGTAGGGGTGGCGAGAGGCCCAGCACAGTGATCTCATAGCACATTCATTTTTCTCTTCAACTTGATCTGCCACGTTCCCCCGGAGCACTCACACCCTCTCTCAGCGCAGACATCTCAGTGATCCCTGAGGAACAGTTCTTAGATTTGAAATGCTGTTGCAGGGTTTTGTCTTGGTTTGACTTGACATGAAACCCTCAGATCCTGGAGGCTCTGTGGAGATTGGGGCTGAGACGCTCACCTGATCCGATGCATAGGCCACTAGCTTATCCATGACGGCGCCCTGCGTCAGCCCCGGGGAGGTGGTCTGTAGGCGGCGCACCACTTTGGTACGCGCAGCCAGCAAGGCCACCAGAGTAGCTTCGCTGGCACTTCCCTAAATCAAAGAAGAGGTCAAAGTGAGCTTCACAGTTCAGAGTATCTCCACTGTTGGGAGACGTAATATTGTCCGTATTTTCTTAAAAGATGGTTCTGAAATGCCAAGTTCAGTATCTTTTGCATGAAGAAAGTGGACACCTGTGACTGCCACTTTAGCTCTTACTGTCCCAACAATCCTTTGTGTATTTTAAGGAATGCAGTGGCAGCACTGCCAAACACCCAGCATGTACCAGGCATCCCACGGCGTGCCGCTCTGCAGGCAGCTTCCCATGGAAGCCTCACAGTCTGGCCTAGGGAGTGCCACTCCTCCATCATCAGAGGAGGAGATGGCAGCCTGGGGTACCAGCATCCAAGTCCAGCTTTGGGTTGTTACATCTTGGACAGAGAAATGTGCATTAGTTTATAAATTTGGGCGCATTTTCCTCGTGGCTTGGAAATTGCCTTGAAGGACTTCCCTCCATTCCTAATGTTATGGGCCGAACTCTGTCTCCCAAATTTTGTATGTTGTAGCCTTTAGGGTGGGCACTAATCCAATCTCACTGGTGTCCTATAAGAAGAGGAAATTTAGACACCAGACATGTGAGAAAGGGCCACGTGAGGACACAGAGAGCAGACGGCTGTCTACTCTCCAAACAAGGAGGTTTCTGGGAAACCTGCCTTGCCCACACCTTGATCTGGGAATTCCAGCCTCCAGAACTTAGAAATGATAAATTTCTGTTGCTTAAGCTCCTAGTCTGTGGTATTTTATCATAGCAGCCCAGTGGACTAAGACAACTAATGCCAACAAATTATTTTGGCAAAGTCACAAAGAATGGTGCCAACTTCATTCATCTGAGATTGGGATTGGATGAAAGGTGATGTGGGTTTAGCTCCCACCACATCATCCCACTTGATTTGCAAATAATCCCGTTTTTGAATGTTGTCATCTTCAGGTGGGAAACGAATGGTCAGAGAGAGCTTCTAACTTGCCCCAGGCCAGCAGCTAGCTAGTGACCAGCATGGCGGGGAGTGAGACCCAGTCTGTCCTTCCTAGGCTGGGGGGGCCTCCCCAGATTTATACTCAACTTCCTCCATTCCTGCTGCTCGTGATCACCATATCTTTTAGTAAATCCTAGAGGAAACCCATGGACTGAACAGAATTAGCTTTAGAAAAAAAAGAAGATAGATTTTGTTGACTATGAAAAAGATGTACAAGATTTTAGAGTTTTACAGAGAAATATACAATAAAGCAATGGGAGAGGTCAGCCTTGCTTGCTAACCTTTTATCTTCCCTTCATTGATCCAGATTTCCTGCTTCATTTTACAATGTCTATGCTTTTACTCAAGCCAACTCATATCCTTCAGGAAGACAGATGACATTTAAATATACGCACATTCACTCATGGTTCTGCAGCTCTAAAGCATGGATGCAAACATACACATATACAATCTTAATTCAGCCTTCAAACTGCTTTTACATTTCTACCAGCTGTATTTTCATCAGCAATCATTTGGGCCCTGGTTAAAGAAGTCAGCTGGAAGCAGCATGGCAGGGGGCACAGGCTCCCTGCAGGCAGGCCCTGGCTCTCCCACTCCTGAGGTGCAGCCTTCCTCCTGAGCCCCACACTGTGCGCCAGGGATCTGCCCAAGGCCTTGTTCATTCCCTCCGGAAACAGAACATGGAAGGCATAGCTCCTGGTGATGAGAACCCTCCCTGCTCTCTCCTCAGCATGCTCAAGGGGCTGCCAACCCCCACCCCCAAATTCTACCCTCCATCAGGGGCCTTGGAACCACATCCCACTGAAAGGCTTGGGACCACCATGCCAATTCGCTGCTGGTGTCCTTTGGCCTCTGGTCATGTCCGGAGAAAAACTCCCCTCCTTAAGCAGCAAGTGATCAAAAAAGTAAAATGCCCAGGGAAAGACACTGTCGAGGGAAGTGTCCAGAATGCACAGCTCGGAGGCAGCCAGCAGACTTTGGCCAAGTGCAGCAGGAAGGCAAGTGGGCCCCTCCCTGAGCCCTCTGCTGGAGGCAGATCCTTGTCCAAAGAGGGGCAGGGCTGTGGCTCTAGGGCTAAGAGGGGTAATGACACCTTTGCGTTATTGCAGCACACAACGGTTGCCATGGCAAGCCCGCTAAGCAGCAGAAGGCTGATGCTGTCTGCTGATGCTGTGAGCAAGATGTCCTTTCATCCTCTGGGTTTTTTAAGTGTCACCCTGCACATGGCGGGAAATTGGCTTTTCTTCCACGAGAGCTTTCAAGCCCAATTAAGAGACCATTTTCTGGCCCTGTTTGCCCAGCTCAGAGGATGACCTGCCATTTAACTCAGATGCCTGTCACTGTACAGATGCTCAGCAGCTGCCATTACGGCTCCGCGGGGCTCAGAGTCCCCCACAGCTTGGGCTCCATGTCTGTCACCAAACCAGAGTGCTCTTTGGGGCCTCACAAATTACAGAGAATCAGCCTTGTCAGCTGGGAAGTGTGGACTGTCTGCCACAAGCAGAGACACCATCTCCTGCTTTGGTCCAGCACAACTGCGTGGATTGAGCTCCAAAGGGGTTTGTAGGAACCTGGGCTGGGAAATGCCAGGATTACTCCCAACCAAATGCTGGGGCTGCTGGTGTGTCTGGGAAATAGGACTGTCTTTAAAGTACAAATAACTAACAGATTGACCCTATGGTGGCATGTGTACCTTCAGACACTTGAACCCAAGCAAATGACCAGCAGAGCATGGAATCGGGGGAAGCTGGGATGCTCCCAGGCCTGGTTCACATCTGTACCAGCCTTCTTCTAAATCAGCTTGTGCTCTTGGGCACAATACACTACCTTTATGGGCCTCAGTTTCCTCAGCTATGAAAAAGACTGCTGATAATTCAATCAATCCTCATAAATATTTGGAGGTTGAGAAATGATCCTGTAAAGCACGAGAAATAAGCTTACATAAAGCCTAGCTCATGGTAGGCATTCAATAAAAATCACTATTCTTACAATAGATGCACCTACGATGACGAAACATTTGTAACATTTTTGAGAAACACTAAGTTAGAGGAATCACAGTGGGCTGCTGGAAAAAGTGAATGTGAAATTGCTTTAGTTGTGAGATCCAGTGACCCAGAAATAGCCTCTTTTTATTTTTGTTCTATTTTAACATTTGGTGGGACATGAACCAGGAAAGCCCCTGCAAGAACCTGATAATTTTTGTAGAAGATTGTTGCACCTCATCCTGAAATAATATTTACAAGCAAAAAACTTGGTACAGCATAAATATCTCATATATTATTTATATGAGTTGTGACATGTCATAGAAATCATGCAATAACAATAATCTCCAAGGATATTTAAGCAAGAAATGCTCACAATAAAAAAGCAAAATGCCGTGCAGAAAATATGTATGTACTCTATTATCCTAATCTTGTTTATACTTATACACACAGAGGTATTGAAATAATGATAGGAGGAAGTATACCCTGAAATGTCCCTGTGTACTGTCCATTTTTATAATGGACATCTGCTTTTCGTAAGTAGAAAGGGGACTTTTTTTAAGTGGAACAGCAGAACCAAAAATGATTTTGAAGACAATAAATTGGCAATATAGTAAACTGAAGCAACAAGATAAAGAAAAAAGAAGAAATTCCTCCAAAATATCAAGGAGAAAATGACCCAAAAAAAGCACAATACAAGAGAGCTAGAAATCACAGAAGAGGTACCCACCCTGTGGAATAGAGGCTCTTGAAAACAAAGTGCCTAGAAGTTCCCACAAACCTGAGCTGAGGTCTAGCAGAGGGAAACATCCTCCAGTGAAGCTAGAGCAGGATTTCAGATTAATGCAGGGTAATTACTAAATGCTGGGGTTGAGCGACTCAAAATGAAGGGAAGAAGCAAAAAAGCAGATCTTAGCAAAGCACGTGGAATTATCAGGAAAAAACAAATCTGCCACAAGTGTCCAGGCTGTTGTGAAGTGTTAGCTCAGCCCCAGGCTGGAACTGAGTCAAACAAAATTCCAAGCTGAAGCCCCCACCCAAATGTCCCCCCATCTCCCTCGCCCCAGCTGCTGTCTCTTCTGTCAGCACCTGGGCTCTGCTCTTTACTAGGGAAGGATGGCACAGAGTCCTCTGGAGAATCAGGACCACCGTACCAGAGACGGAGAAGCACGGACCCCCACTGCAATGAGATACAGCTGGCAGCGTGGATGGGGCCTGTGCAGCAGCCTCCCTCCCTAAGGCAGAGGGGGCCAGGATGTCCTATCTGTGCATGGCCTCTAAAAGGAGGCTGGCTGGGGCATGTAAACTCTGATAAGAAGAAAAGTGTCCAGTACAGCTGGACAGAAAGTGCCACAACCAAAGACGTGCTTGAGAGGACAGAGAGAATGGGGCTGAGCCTAGCCACGTGGGCCTGTGGGTCAGTCAGCCACCTATCAAAGCATACAGCCTGTTTATCAAAGTGGGTCTGAGGCCACTGTGTCCGAATGACCTGAGGCACATGTTAGGATGCATATTCCTGACCCCCAAGACTATTGAATTGAATCTCAGAGGTAGAGTGCAGGACTCTGTCCATTACTCTGACACATAGTACACATAGTTGGCAGAATAAAGTCTCTGAGATGTCCATGTCTAGTTCTGACCATGTGAAAATCATCTTACATGGAAACAGGGATCTTGCTGATGTGATTAAGAACTTTGATAAGAGGGACTTATCTTGCATTAACTGGGTGGGCCCAATCTAATCTCATGGGTCCTTGAAAGTGAAGAACCTTTCTCCTCTGTGGTCAGAGGGAGATGGGACCCTGAAAGAAGGGCCAAAGAGAAGCAACACTATTAGCTTTGCAAATGGAGGAAGGAGCCATGGCAACGGAGTGTGGGAAGCTTCTGGAAATTAGAAAAGCAAGGAAAGATTCTTTCCTGGAGCCTCCAGGGTACAGCCTTGATTTTAGCGCAGTAAGATCCACTTAGACTCCCACCTACAGAATTGTAAGATAATATAATAGGTTTGTGTTGTTTTAAGCCACTGGAATGTGTTAGAGCAGCAACAGAAAAGTGACCCAAGGGAGTCCAAACGCCCTGGTCTGTGAAAGCATCAGTCTCAGGACTGGGCCCTGGACTTGTTCCTGGGGGAGTCTGGCCCCATCAGCCAGGTGATTGACACAAAGGCACTGTGCCTCAGGGTTCTCCTCGGTCAAATGGACAGAAAATAGCTGCCTTAAGGAATGCTCAGGGCCTTTGGGAAGATAAGTCTTGCCAATGGGTTTCAGCCCCCTGCACATTCGCTGTGGATTCAGTGTGACCAAAGAAATGACAGTGGAATGTTTCTTCGGGGTGAAAGGGTTTATTACCCGGCTTGTTCTCCCAGCAGCAGGTCGAGCACGAGCGTCTCTGCCTCTGCCCAGAGCACTGGCCCAAGCTCTCTATGTAATGCAATAGCTTATTGCCTAAAGGTGTGGAAGCTGTAGCCTAGCAACAGGCTAGTTACATCTTCAAGTGGTTTAAGTTCAGTGAAGATCCTGGCCACAGGAACCCCAACTTCCCCACAAGATGGTACCTAAGAAACAAAATCCCTTTTCCCCCCAGTATTATTATCATATAGTGGAAATAAGAAAAATGGTGTCTGGAAGGGTGGTAGGTTCAGTAGAACCATTTTCTGTGCTAGGAAATAAAACAGCACAAAGGCCAGGTCTCCTTACTGGCCTTGGCCCTGCAGACCCCGTCACAGCACACTGTGACTGTCACTTGTGTCTGTCACACCCCAGATGTGTCTCAATGGTACATGCCAAATGAAAGGAATGAATTAAATTGGTGCCTAGAAAAGGCAACATCTTTGGTCTCACAGATGTGACACTTTCTGGAAACCTTTGAAGGACAGGGTCACAGCTGCCACTTACCGCCCAGAGGACAGCCCTGAGCAGTGGGAGAGGTGATGGCGCTGCTCTGGGACAGATGTGGGCTCCCACTGCAGCTCCGGGACCAGCCAGCTGGGCACCAGTGAGCAAGTTTCTGCGCTCATGCTTAGCAGTAGCCACAATTCTATGGAACACGTGTGTATGCACACACACACACACACACACACACACACACACACACACACACACGGGCGAGGATGAGGGAGAGGCTACATGACATCCTGTCCACACTCTCGGCTTCCCAGCAGATTGGCCTCCCCTACTCTCAGGAGTAGGAAGTACCTGCACCTCTTTCCCACCTGGGCAGCACCTGGAGGCCAACCCCTGCCCTACCTGGATCACTCCACCCCCTTCTCCCGCTTTCCCAGCCAGAAACGCCTGTGGAAGCTGCAGCATCTTGCCGAGCCAGTCCATCATCACTGTCTCCAGCTCCGTGCATGCCGGGCTTGCAGCCTGTGGGAGGGAGGGAAGGAATTAGCCCAGGCCCAGCTGCCCCAGCTTCATGACAGCTCTTGACAAAGGGGTGTGACACAGAGGATAACTTCAGAGCTTCTGTCACTTAGCTTTGGTCAATTTAACAAAAGATTTTAAGTACTTCCAAAAGGCCTATCCCTGGGTGGGAATTAACATGATGGTGTGCCCTCCCATCTTGGGGTGCCAGAGAGAAGTAGCAGCAGGCCCTGGCCCCTGGACAGTCCACGGAGGACTCCTCCATCCCAGGGGCTCTAAGGCTTTCTCCAGGGCCACTCTGGGCAAGCTCATGAGATTCAGAGATACAGGAAACCACACTCCCTAAGTGCAGACCTGCCACAGGTTGTGCAAGGGTCTGCATCTATCAGTGACCTTGTCATCCTCTACCTGCAGACTTGGGTCCCCGAGATATCCCGCCCTCCCCAGTTCTGTGACACAAATCTCTAGGGGCCAGTGTTGGGGCACTGGGCCGGGTCTTGGAGAATTTCAGAAACAACAGCAAGGTTTAGTTTTCCACTGTCCTCAGATAAAAATCACCCAATTCAGATGCTATTCAAATACCAGACACATGTTCCAAACATGTAGTCCTTGACCAAGACTCATGGGAGAAGGGTTGGGAAGGAAGGTGATAACCCAACTGCCCCGGCTGCATGCACCAGCATTGTGTTCTGGCTCTTTTAGTTATCTGTTTATTTACAGAAGCATCTAGAAAGACTCAGTAGTGGACCCTCCTTCATAGTCCCAGGTGAGTGGAATGGACAGGACTAAGCTGAGGAGGTGGTGCTGGGCAGCCTGAAGCCCCTGGGAGCCCTGGTCAGGTCACTGACCTTGCCTCTTAATGTCTCAGAATGACACCGCATGGGCTCTCCGCTGCCCTGTCCTTGCACATGGGAGGGGGCAGGCTGGCCTGGGCTCCCCCTTGGGATGGACGGAGCCTCCCACTCCATGTGGCACTCACAGGGGTGCCCAGGGCCTCCCAGCTCCGCATGCACACCAGCTCACGGTGCACTGATGGTAAGAGCAAGCGGACACTCTCCCTGGTAGTTGCCTACGCCTTCCGGCTAAGCCGCTCCAGGCATGGGGACCCACACTCCCAGTTAGGACCCATGTCTAAGGCTGGTATAGTCTAGAGACAATGCGGCAGCCCTCCAAGTCTCCAGAGAAATAGACTGTCCTCAGAAAGAACATGTAGATACAGTAGGATACATGCCAAGTCACCCGGAAGGGGACAGGATGGCTAAATGAAATGCCCTTTCATGTCTAATGGAAGAAAATGTCCTTCAGAAGGCAGTGTGCTCAGCAGAGGTGAAGGAAGGTCACAGAGGCCACTCTGCTCTCCCAGCAGAAAGGGAGGCCTCAGGGTGCCTGATACAGAAACAGCTCAGACGCTGCAGTAGGGAGCCAGGGATGACCCCTCCAACCCCTCCCTGGGCTGCTGACCCCCACACCCCCCAGGCAGCTCCAGACGCCCAGTCTAAGGAGCAAGCAAGCGGCAGGTGGGGAGGCAGATGCTGGCTCCCAAAGCTCATGGTCCTGCATTCACACACTGACCTCTCCTTTACGTTCTCAGGCCCTGTTCAGCGTGAGTCAGCACCATGAGGCCACTCGGCTCCAAGGCGCAAGCAAGTGGGCACTCCGGATAAAAAGGCCAAGGGCAGACCCTGGCCTTTGGAGAAGTCCCCGCAGGTGCGCAGCCCTGGGACCCCGGACAGTCAGCATTCTGTTCTGCTTACTAGGGCTCCACTTTGGGAAGAAGGAAGCAAGCTCTGCCACAGCGCTGTGCCTGGGAGCAGGGCCACAAGGAAGCACCAGGCCTGACCGCTCTTTTGGGTAGGGACCTTTTCCTCGCTCAGTCTCCAAACCTGGTGGGTGGGGTGCTGGCCAGAGGCAGGGGCCGGCCCCAGTTCCTGGGCAGTCTGCTCTGCAGCCCTCGGCACTCCTGATGGGCGGGAGCCTTCCGGGGCCCCAGCCCTGGCTACAGACAGGTGGACTGGGACATGGGCAGTAGCATTTTTCACACTGCAGACTGCAGAGAAATCCTCCATCTGCTTGATGGAAATGCAGATTCCCAGGCTTGGGCAGCAGACACTCCAGGGCATGACTGTGATTTTAATTCACACCAAGTACTTCTAAAAAAGCACTGCTGTGCACAATTGGCTTTGGGTTGTTGATACTGTTCTAGAAAGACTGTTTCCCTGCATTCCGAATTTCCTTATGAGGCACCCTCTCCAGGGCTGAGTCCTTCTCCCCTCCCACAGGTGGCACTGCCACATGCTCACATCCTATGACTATAGGTGCCATGCCACCCACCACTGCCAGGATCACCCTGATGCTTACCCAGGAGAAGCCGATGCAGCCGATGGCCCCACACAGCATGTCCGCCAGCATGGCCGGGTACGAGCTGCCCGTGGGGAAGTAGGCAAAGAAGTAGGGGCTGTGCCAGTGGGTCACCTGTGCAGGAGACAATGTGGTAACCGCAGCCAGCCGCCCAGGGGGTCCCAGGCAGCCTCAGTTTGTCACAGCAGACGAAGTCCCCAAACCAACCCTGTTTTAAATACTGGCTAGGTGCCCTTATCAGGAAAGGAGCTGCAGCTGAGCCCCATCTCCCTGGGTAAGAAGCCGGATTTTCCTAAAACTGCTCCAAAAAGATAAATTCTATGTTAGAAAAAAAACAGACAAAAAAGCCATGATTTCCAGTTTCTTCAGCTGGTCTTCCGGCCACCTCCTCGCTCTGCTATACAGCCGCTCGCCTGCCGAGCGCAGCCTGTTCCCCATCCCCCAGGCTGGCCGGCCGGAGCAGCACAGACAGCAGTGTGGCGCACAGGCCTCAGGAGGAGGGGAGACGATGTGCCAGGACATACCCGTTGGGGGCAGGCGCCCTGGGGGGGAGACCCAGCTGTGGAAGGAGGGCGGGCCAGGAATCTCTCAGAGTTTCAGAAGGTCAGGGAGGAGAGGGGACCAGGGAGCGTGGCCCAGCCTGGGCTCCTTCATTCGTCCTTGCTGATGCCACTCCTGCCATCAGGGAGCACAGAGCCCCGGGGACAGCCCCTCCCCACGGTGGAAGACAGAAAGTACCCGGGGCTGTCGTTCAGTCTCCACAGGGCACTGTGAGCTCTTCCTCAGGGCCCAGCACGCGCGGCCCTGCTCTGCGTCCCCACGCTTGCCCTCCATCCGGCCCACGTCAGTCACCAACGTGAGGTGCACTCCTAGAGGGCCAGGCCGGTAGCCCCCGGGATTTCTTGGGTCACCCGAGGCAGTTAAGGGTGTCATCCAGAGCTCTGGCAGCTGCTCAGGTAAAGTAAGGCATGTCCTGCAGTGTCTTCCAGCCCTAACCTCCCCCAGGCCTCTCACGACCCCTAAAGGCTGGGGAGGTGTTCTGGCAACATTACTCGTCGTCATTCTCCGGGGCAACATACAAGCATTTCCTCCTCTATGGCATCAGTTCTCAACTGTCCTTTGTGCAAGATGTGGCGCAAGCATGCCAGGACTGGGGAGGTGGCTGCCTGGGAGTTCCCCAGGCCATGGAAGCGTTCAGCAGGACTCATGGGTCACGTGGACTGAAGACCGGGGTCCACCACAACCATGGACCCTCGCCCCACATCTGCAGGGCTGGGACAGACAGGGGAGGACCCTGGGGGCACAGGAGCCAGCATGGACGCTCCTGCTGCCCATGGTGGAAGGGTGGGCATGCACCCCAGGAGCCCAATCCAGCCTGCAGGGTGGGGCGGCCAGGGGCAGGGCAGCGGCTGGAGGCAGCCCTCTGGGTGGCGGAGCGGGTGAACCGAGGGGCAGGGAGAGGCCGGGGACAGTCTGCGGGGAACGGTGAGATGCTTGGCACGGTGGCAGCTTTCAGGGCTATGGCGAGAGGCCAGTGGGAAAGCGGAGGGGCTGCGAGGGGCAGCAGGCCCAGTGTCAGGGCTCACAATACTTTTTGGGGCCTGGAAAATGTTTTCTTTTAAAATTCTGACAAGAAAAGTAAACTTTCAGGTCAAAGAAAAGGCTTTGCTTTCTAGTGTTACTGTATTGATCTTTGTGCCAATGCATCTGCAGAACTCGCTTTCCTGGTTTCTGGGGGGGAAGAGGCCCAAGGGGGTGGCAAGCACTGGGAGACCCCATGTCCCCTTCCCTACCCACCCCACATGGGGCAGCGCGGAACGAGAGCTACCCTGACTGGGGACACATGCCCCTGTCTTCCACTCAACTAACACCACGCTCAAGATGCCTGCCTCTACATTCGCTCTGCAGACAGGCTGGCCGAAAGCTCACCCTGCGATCACCCAACTAACAACTGGCAGGCCCAGGATCCCCACCTGGGCCCTGGCCCAAAGCCCGTGCAGCTCCAGGCACAGCTCTGCCAGTGGTCGCCCGTCTAACCCAGCAGGAAGAGCACCGACTCCACAGTCTCCATAGTCACCCCTGTGGACGGCATGTTTGCGTCCCCTCTGATTCCTGCATTGAAGCCCTAACTTGCAGCGTGATGGGACAGGAGATGGGGCCTTTGGATGGTGCTTAGGGGCAGATGAGTTCATGGGGAACTCCACAGGGAGGGAGGGCCATGTGAGGACACAGCAAGAAGGCAGCTGGCACCTGGAAGCTGGCTCCCACTTCAGAGCCATGAGAAGTGAACGTGCCTGTCTGAGCCCTGCCTGTGGGCTTTGTGCAGCAGCCAGAGTAGAACAGCCCCTCCGCCTGACATTTAACCACACTAAATCCTAGAGCAGTTTAGCATGTTTGCACAACCTCCAAGAGAGTTTCAGAACCCTGCGCTGGCTCCCAGCACAAATGTCAGGGAAGCTCCAGGGAAACGGGGATGTATACAACCCTACCAAGAGGCCCTCTGGTCTCGGGGTTGTGCTCAGTGGCTCTGTGACCTGGCCCACAGGTCAGGAGTCTCAAGGCCTCAGCATCCTGCTTGCAAATGAGAGAACAGGCCCCAAGGGTGAGACCCCTCTTGCCATGTTCATGTACACACTTTTAGGGAGCCTCTTGGCAGGGAAAACCCTTATTTCTTACAAAGTGGTAGGGGGTGTCTTTTGAATTGGAACTGTCTGCTCCCCTCAGAGACTATGAGGGACTGCTCCCTGGTCCCCTCTGGTCCTGCCCCCATGCACCTCACACAGAGCAGTGACTCACTGGCTTCAGGTAAAAGGTCTGCTTCAGAGGTCAGCCTCTGCATAGCAGTCCCACATTGCCCTTATCAAATAAGATAAAACCTTTCTTCCATACATGTGACCTACCCTCTGCTAAACACAAGAATGGTAGCAGTATGCTTTATCTGAGAAACCAGCCAGCAGGAGCTTGTGCTCTTCAACGGTCACATGAGTATGCACTCCAGGGCCAGGGCCTCAGGTCTGGGGACCAACCCTGGGTCTCAGGGAACAAGCACACTCATGCTGCTCGGGGCTGCAGTCTTGGCTGAATCACTTACTAGCTGTGTGCCCTTAGGCTAGTCACCTAACCTCTCTGGGCTTCAGTTCCCCAACTATAAAATAGAAATGGTAAGTTTCTCTGCACAGAGGTGGTGGTGAGGATTAGGTGAGGTAACACATGTGAATTACATTAATGCCAGCCTTCCTGTGTTCTGACCTTGGATGGGCTTACCCCTGGCATGATGATCTTCTCAACATCATTCATGATGTCCTCGAATGTGTCTGGCTCCTGAGGGGCGGTGGCAGGGATCAGGGGGCGCAGGTAGCCAGGCTCCACATCAGGGTAGACCTGGCGTCCCTCAATGCCTTCTAGGTAGTCAGCCACATAATCCACCATTTCTCTCCCACGCCTTCGGAATTCACTTGCATTCATGGTGACTGGGGCTTGTCAGAGGAGAAAACTGCACAGGGAGAGAAAAGAAATCAGTTGGCAAATATAACAAGCTCTAACCTGGGAAGGGCGAGTCCACACCAGCTGACTGCTAAGGCCACCTGAGCAATGACCCCATTACGCTGGAGCCCACCCAGATCTCGAGTCAGGAAGCGCTTTCCTTCTGAGTCCGGATGAGTGGAAATGACACTAGATTTGGAGGCTGCAGCAAAGTGCATATTCTACTGTTTGCCAGCCATTCAACCCAAGATGAAGCCACACCTCATCTTTTCATCGTCCACATGGGTGAAGTGGGCTAGAAGCACCTATCTGTTTCATGGCCCAGCCCAACTTTAATGACAAATGTTGGTCCATGTCCTGCTTTGCCAGGCACTAGCTACTGGACAGACACAAGTGGTTCAGCCCCTGAGCCTCTTTCCTTAATTGAGAAATGAAGCTAACAGTGCTGCTGTCTCAGGAGGCTGTGGAGACAGACTCTCATAGCCTGTGTAGAGCCGGCAGCCCAGGGACTGGGGCTGCCTCTCACCCCATCAGCACTGAAGTCCGCTTCCTTCCTCTCAATGCCATCACCACGCAGAGTCACACCCCTACATACAACCTGTTTTTAAGAAGTAAACTTTCTCTCCTCATCAAATAGGAAACATACGGTGATTCTGGTTCTTCCAGAATGTTTCTGTATTTGTAAGAGACAATTGTTTGCTAAGCAAAGGATGCATTTCTAAATTCCTCCCATAGTTCAGAGCTTCATAATGCAAGACAGACTTTCCCATGGGAATAAAGTGGATGGTGATTCTACACCCACTTTAAGTAGCACAGGAGACGATGCTATTAGTATCATATTCCTAGAACTCCATCTTCTATTGTTTCCCATTGTCTGTGCTGCAATTTTTTTGTCTTCTTGACAATTTTTATGAGGTTAAAGGTCTTAAAGAGAAATAACCAGATAGTTATTAAACACAAGACAGATTTTATCCAAGACCATTGCACTAGGGCAGAGAGACTGAATTTAACTCCCAATACAACAAGAACAAGTGGGGATTTCTTGCCAGCTGGCTGGGTAAGGAAGTAGATGCAAAGTTACCAAGAGCAACTTGATTAGGTGTCCAGCGTAGAGGAAGAATAGCCCAATTGAGTATCAGAGTAGAGGCATCCTGGATACTCTGGCTTAGTGCCGTTCTTTGCTAAAACTGGGCCAGGCATGCCGAAGTGAGGACCAGCAAGGAGGACCTCCTGAGAGCCATGTGGTCAGGGAGGGAGTCGACACAAAAGTGCATCAGGTGGAGGATGCCTTTCTCTCCAGTGCTTTCTTCAGAGTGTTCTCTGCTGTACTAACAGTGTAGCAAGCATCCCATCCAAACCATGAATGCTACAAACCAAAGTGATTGAGCTCCATGGCACTTTGACACTTCATAAGCCCAGTGCAAAGGAAGGGTCTGCCTATCATACCAAATACCATGGCCAGGCTTTCCAAAGGTTCTTAGTGCACAGCCATGAAACTTCATGAGGATAGCTTCAGGTTCATAATTCCCTGGGCCTGCAGACTTGGAAATTAATTTCCCACTTGGAGTGTCTCCTCTTATTTCAAATTTTGCACAAACAGTGAAACTTCACTCTTACCTCAGATTGAAGGATTTCAAGTTGACGTGATTCAAATTCAACCAAAACTGTATCAAAGCATAGCTTTTTTGCTAGCTTGCTTTTCTCTCTAAGCAGTTATGAACACATTTCCCATATTAATAAACACTTTTCCACTGTGTGATTTCCCACGATTGCATAGTAGTTCACAACTTGAATGTGCTGTCTTTACAACATGCACCTCTGTTGCTGACATTTGGATAATTTCCAATTTTTACCTGTGTTAGTGCTAAGAGTTAGCATAGCTGAGTGGCCAGTGCTTCAGGATGGAGAAGCCAAAGGACTCTGACCCAGACATTTATTAGCTGTATTACCTGGATTAAATTGCTACAGTTAACTTAAACCTCAGCTTAAAACAAAAACCATGATAATCATAGTTAAAAAACAGTCAGAGTTTTTTGTGATAATTAGATAAGGACCTGGGAACAGCTTAGGGCAATGGCACAAAATAAGCCCTCAATAAATGTTAGTTACCAGCTTTTCTATAAAATGCTGAGATGTACAACCTAATATTTACATTTTTGCAACAAAATTTTCCAAAAGGAAGAGCATTTATAAATATAAAGAGTACTTCTTTAGAACAAATTGATATGGAAATATTTTTTAGTGTCTAAAAATTACCCAATCAGGGGATCAACAGAGGTGAGGCTCAGAACCTCACCCCCCCTGCTTTGAGAGAAATCTTCTGCATCCGTGGATGTCTTGCTGCCCTTGTCTAGCCTGGATTAATACTTAGTCCATAGGCACACACCTGATCATCTGATCATCTATATTTGCCTTCTTACAGCACTAAACTATGTTTTCTACCTTTATCTTGCATCTACCTACCACTTCAGCATTTTATTAAAAATAAAAATAATAATAATAATAGGAGAAATGTGGGATCAACATATAAATCAAGTACAAAAATCAAATGAATATTCATATTTGACCTGATGGTTTATAGGTCATATTGCATGATCAAAACCGAAAGTTTCTGTGATGAATGCCCTTGTACTGTTCACCATGTAAGAATTTATTCACTCTGTAAGAATTCGTTCACCATGTAAGAACTTGTTCGTTATGCTTCAGAAGATTGGAGACTGACGAGAATTAGGCTTGAGATGGATTAATGATTGTACATTGAGTATTGACCCCCCTATACTGAATTTTATNCCTCTCAAAAAAAAAAAAAAAAATTACCCAATCATATTTCTCCACAGAGCTTTACTCTACCAAAGTGTTCCCCCTCTGAGATGTAGAAGGACTGTCACTGTACTATAATCACTAACACACACTGGGTTTGTGCTTGTGATAAGCTTTGCCAGCTGGCTGGGCAATTAATGATTCCATTTTACTTTGATTAATGGGGTTCACCTCGTGCTTCTCTGCCACCATGATTTCTTCTCTGGGACCCGCTTATTTGCTGCATTCTCTTCCACTGTCTTTACTAAACTGCAAAAGTGCTAATACAGTATGTTCACCATTATGTCTGTGATATATTTTGCAGATATTTTCTTCATTTTTGTTTGACCTAATTTTGCTTACAATTTTATTCAACCTATAAGAATCTCAATTTTTATGTAGTCAAACCTCAGGATCTTTTCCTGTATGATATGTCGCCTTGACTATTAAAAATGTCTCAAAGCAAATATCTGAGCAACTTCCATTTGTGCTCCTGACAGAGCAGCAGACGCATGCAGTGTACAAGGTGAAGAGTCAGAGTGCGGAGCTGGGAGAAACTGAGGAAGATGTGTGGGGTCTCAGAGTACCAGCTGCTCCTTTCCGATGGGAATGAAGTGGATGGCCCCAACAGGACACCTCAGGAAAAAACAGACAGACACACAAACGTGCCCCCAAAAGAAACATTCCCAGTCAGATTATAAGACTTGGTTATTATATTCAGGTTGTTCTGCTGTTTATTTGCCAGTTACTTCCCACAAAGACCTTTCCAGAAGGCTCTTCGGGCAAAGCCTCAGAGAATCTTATGTTCAAGCTGGGCAAATATTGGCTGGACAATGTAGACAATGATAAAGGCTATGATTGATGCTGTTCCCAGCCCTTGAGAGCGCTTCTGTTGACATAATCTGATCACAGTGTCAGTCAGCAGCTGCACTCCACGGCATTTTGCGTGCAGTCCCTATCGAGCCCTGCATGTGGGAGGTGAGCCCTTTTGCCCCTGGACCTCTTATTATATCAGTCAGAGGTGGAGCAGCTCCAAGCTCTGAGCAACCCTGCACTCCCTCCTGTCTCCTGGCTGACCTGGGGAGTCACTCGTTTCATAATTTTTCATCCCACTACTAACTGATATCCTTTGCTAACTGTGAGCTTCTCCACGCAGAAGGCTCACTCTGTTTTTGCTTTGTTAGGACCAGTGGCAGCTCCTGGACCGCAGTAGGCACTACAAATGCTGGCTGAATGAGGACTTAATGAGGGAATGGAAAATCTTCTGGTTCTCTGAGCATTGTTTTTCTGAAATGTGCTACATCCCACCCTATTCTCTACCTTTAAGGCAGCAATAACCACCAGCCCATCATGTATCTGCCACAAAAAGCACCACAGGAGACAAATGCAGCCTGGGAACAACAGGCTTCTGCCCCCAGAATCCTGACCTACCTTGGGCCTCCAGGGTCAGCACTGACTTGGTTTCCCCAGTCTAGGCCCTGGCCTCACCCTGCGCTTAGGCTTCCCGCTCCTCTGGTTCCAGTGATCCCAAGGACCCTGGACCACTGGAGTCCAACCTCTACTAGCCATTTGGCCAGAACACAACCACAGCCCTATAGATGGTGCTTCATTGGTAGTGGGCGCACCCAGGGACCTCAGGGCACAGTTTCTGTGGTGCTCACACACCTGAAACTGTCAGGACCAAGCCTAGCATTTGGGTGTCCACTTGCTCAGCACTGGGCACCCAGGAAGCCTCCTCCTTTCTGGCCAGCTTGGTCTGGATTAGAGAGGGTCCTCGTACACATGAAAAATTGGAGGCTTCAATACTACAATTCCACATGACAGTATTTTTCCTCTTAGCAGCCATGGGAGTGGAAAGAACATGGATTTGGGGTTAGAGTAAGAGGGCCTGTGTCCTAGCTCTACAGCAACAGGCTGTGCAGCTGTCAGCCTCTTGCCTGGCATCTGAGCCCATTTCCTCCCTTGCAGATGGGCTGCAAGATGCTGAGGCAGAAGGCATTTGGGCCTGGAAAGCTGTCTGTATCTGGCACTTACTATTGACATTAGGGAAGAAAATCAGCAAACACTTCCTCTCCTGAGCTGGTCAGATCATCTGGCATTGACAGCACCCCAGGGCAGCATGGGAGAGATGGGAGGAAATTCCGCACTGGACACAGATTTCCGTTTAGGAGAAAGGAGGGGGGCCCTTTGTGCTGCTGTTTCTTATGCATT